TTCTAGAAGAAAACATAGGAGGAATCTTCACAACCTCTGGTGGAGATTTCTTGGATAGAACACACAAAAACCATGTAAGGACATGTTGAAAAGGGCACTTCATCAGAATCAAAAACTTCTGTTCTTCATAAGATACCAATAAGAGAATGAAAGGGCAAGCCACAAACAGGGATAAAATATGGCCCAAACTTTCTGACAAATGACTCGTATCCAAAATATTAAGGAACTCGTACAACTCAACAATAAGAAAACAACTACAGGGTCACCCAGTTGAAAAGATACTCAAATGACCAAGAGTCCCATAGAAAATACTCAACACACCATTCATCAATGGAAAAATGCACATTAAAACCACAGTGAGATACCAATGCACACCCACTAAAATGGCCTAAAGAATACAAAGGACTTGAAATTCCCACACAATACTGTGCGAAGTGGTACAGCCACTCTGGAATACTATTTGACTGCTTCTTATACAGTTAAACATATACATACCATATGATCTAACAATCTGGTCTTAGATATTTATCCAAAAGAAATAAAAACATATGTCTACAAAAAGACATGTATGTAGCCAGTTTATATAAAATAGCCCCACACTGGAAAAAACCCCAAATGTCCATCAACTGGTGAACAAATAAACAAATTGAATATGTCCACACTCCTCAGCTGAAAAAGGAATGTGCTATCTATGGATGCAACAACATGGATGAACCTCAAAACATGATTTTGAGCAAAGGAATTCACACAGCAAAGGCTATACGCCCCATGACTCCATTTATACGGACTTCTACAATGGGCCAAACTAAGCTACAATGACAGAAAGTAGATAAGTGGTGGCTTGGGGCCGGGGCTGGGGAGGGCTGGCTGCAAAGGGGCCCAGGGGTCTTCTGGGATGAAGGTCAGGTTCCATACAGTAATTGTGGTGGTGGTGGTTCCATGGCGGTAGACAGTTGTTAAAATCCAAAGTGTGCCCTTGGAACAATGCATTTTATTGAATGTAATGTTGGTTTGGCAAAAGAGTTAAGGCTGTGTTTTGTTTCTTTACCATGACGATATCTCCACAACCCCAGACGCTGGCTAGAACCCCAGCACCCATCAACAGTGCTAAGCACTGTACTGCGAGAACTTAGTATGTGCCTGGCCACCTATTGGGCCTTTTCATTCACGGTCTCCATTAAGCCTCTAATCAGCCGTTACCATGAGTGTTTTCATCACCCAAACTCAGCAATGTTGAGACATCTGCTCAAAGTCATGCAGTTAGCAAGAGGCATGATCAGGACTCAGACTCAGGTCTAGTTGATTTAAAGGCCTGTGCTTTCATAAATTTCTCTGTGCCATCTCCAGAGAGGAAAGAAACCCAACAAGAGCACAGAGTGACATGTTTGAAAAAAAAAACAACAGCCATGGAAGTCAACTATGATTTGAAAATTGCTTCCCCAGGAGCTATTTCTAGTTACAAAGCCATTGGTATGACTTAAGGACTGTACTGGATGGCAAGGCCTGTCATATGTCCAGCTCGTCACATAAGACAATGTATGCTCATTGATGAAACATCACACAAATTAACATTTGCAGAATTCCCAAGCCAACTGAGCTAAAACATGAGACCTTGAGTGATCCCAGACTTGTAGGCCAGGACCAGCCTGTTAGGGAACCTTAAGACCTCCAGGTACTACAGACTGTGGAGGCAAGTGATCTGACCACAGACAACGCAGAGAGTGGTCCGGAGTCAGGACAAACCTGAGCCGCTGACTTCGGGTCTACCTCCCATCCCACCATTGATATGTTGTCTTCTCAGAGCCCCCCTGACACCCTGCAGGGCCCAATGCACCTGTCCCTCGCTGAGGACAGAGGAGAATGCTGTGGCCTCACCCATCCCACCACAGCCAAGAGGATCTGACAGAGTTGACTAAGCAGGGAAGGGGGTCACCTGGCCTTGCAGCTGCTGCTTCCCTGGGTGACCACACACTATTAGCTCTGGAGGCTGTAGGGCAAAGAGCCCAGACCAGTTTCTATCCTGTCTCTCCCACTAATCTGCTGTGTGACATTGGGTGAGTTGTTGAAACTTTCTGACCCTTGGATTCCTTTTGGGTGCTATTTATACCCATCCAATACTCCTCAGGAATGGCTCTGCAGATCAGCTGTGATAAGAGCTGTATGAGGAAGTTATTTGTAAGTTACAATACTGATGATCATGCCATTCAACAGGATTGGGCTCTAGACTCATGCAAAGCAGTAGAATAGAAGCAGCTGCCAGCTCATGGCAATTTGGGAATGATGGTTGTTTTATCTCAAAAATGGGGATAATGATACATGACCTGCTTGAAGCAGGGAGCTGGAGCAGACATCCTTTGGGGGTCACCTCCAACTCTTAAGTCTATGATTCTATGATTTTTGAAGACCCCAATAAGATTGACCTCACCTGCTCTCCTGCTGTTTGAATTTTCTTTTATCAAGATGCCCAAACACTTCATCTTATAAAAGCAAATGACCTGGAGAAGGGAGAGGAATATTGCCTCACATTCTCACTACAGTGTGGATGACTGATATAGATTTCTCCCAGAGAGCAAAATCTGATGAAAAGCTGAGAACCTTGGCCCGACTGGGAAACAACAAGGCTTTCCCAGTGAGAACCCAGGCTCTATAAGACCAAACACATAACAGCATGAGGCTCCAATTTCAGCTTATTCCCCTAGTATTTGTCCTGCACCCCAGACTGTGGAGGTGGTGGCCTGAGTGTGCTTTGCCAGCTCTGTCCAACCAGGCTCACAACCTGGAACAGGTGGCTCCAATACTCACATGGCCCTCTCAGTCCTGACTCAGGCTGAATCCACAATCTCCCCTCTCATTTCCAAGGCTGCCCCTGCGCTCAGTCCTCAAATTCTAGCTCCTGGCACTGCTTCAAACCCCTCACCCTTCCAACCACACCAGCCAGGGTAGTCCAAGCTTCCCGGGGCCCCCTTCCTTCCACCTCACCTAGCCCTTGTCCCATCCCTAACCCCCAACCCAGACAAACAGAATTATGATAGTGAGCTGGTGTCCAAGAGGAAGCAGGTCCACTTGTCCTCACCTTCTCTGTTAAGCTCAAAAATCCTTGTCAGGGATGGAATATCAAGATACTCTGCCTGGCCTCCTTAAAAATCTTCATTGTCATAACCTGGCTGGTGTAGCTCAGTGGATGGAGTGAACCAAAGGGTCACTGGTTTGATTATGGGTCAGGGCATGTGCTTGGGTTGTGGGCTGGGTCCCTGGTTGAGGGCAACTGATGTATCCCTCCCTCTCTTGCTCCATCCCTTCCCCTCTCTCTAAACAATAAAATTAAAAATCTTTCCAAAAAATCACCACCATCATCATCACCGCTGACATTAGTTGAGCATTTACTAGGTGCTAGACGCTGTCCTAATGGATTTACATGTACTATCTCCGATAATCTTCATATGAAATAGGCACTATTACCCTCATTTTACAGATGATAAACCAAGGCACAGAGAGATTAAGTAATTTGGCCAGGAGTACACAGCTAGCAAGTGGCAGAGTTGGGAACTAAACCCCAAATTTGTGCCATTATATCCTGCCTGCTGAGGCAAGAACAGTGCCTTCAAACCTGAAATCGTTGGGAAACAAGTATGTTCATTCACTGTTCTTAAAGAGAATCTAGAGGCTCGGTCATGTCAAGTTCATACCCTTTGCAAAAGGGGCCTCTGCAGCCCAGAGTCTGAGTGGTCTTCCCAAGTCATCTGCAGCTGAGCCCAGAGCCAGGGTTTGAGCCTGCCCCTTCCACATCGTTGTTCAAGAGAAGCCATCGCCCACAGCCCAGGCACGTTTTAACCAGAGGCCATGACCTGGAAATTAGCCCACAGCCCTTATTCCAGCCTGCCCTGTGGGGGACATCTCAGACCCTTGCTGGAGCCTCCCTGGTAGGTCCTTAACAGCAGTCTCTGGGGGGTCACTTGCATGGTGTTTTCTTGCGTTTTCTGTGGTCAGACTGTAAACCTCACCCTGATTTGGAGTGAAGATCACAAAAAATGGCATGATTCAAAGTAACAAGTTGTACACAGTTGGAGGCGCTTTGGGTGGAGGTCAGGAAAGTGCCTTCGCACCCACGACCCCATCGCCCAACCCAGGTCCCTGCAATTCAGGGTCAGAGAAGCAGGTACAATCAATTGCGCTGTAACTTGCGCCCTAAACACCCCCAGTTCCCTCCCCCTGCTCTCCCCAGGTGTCAGCCCGACTCTGACCCTCCCTTTCCTACTGCGTACACCGCCTCTCCTCTCCTGCTCTTCGTTATTCTCCGGAGAATTCGCCCGACGCCGGGGCTGAGATTTGGTCGGATTTCCCCAGCTGACGTTCCGCCCCCTCTCCCTCCGCGTCTCCAGCTGACACTCCCCACGGGTTCCTCCATTCTTCTCGGATCTGCGTGATCCCCTTCCCCGGCCTCCGTAACGACCCATCTCCTCCCATCCACCCAACGCTCCCGGTCTCTGCTCCGCGGGGCGAAGGCAGAGGGTGGGGAGGAAGCCCCAGGCGAAGGCTGTGGCTAGACAGAGCCCGTGATGGGGGCGGACGGACAGACAGGGCGCCGGGTGAGGATCGCAAAGGGCATCAGAGCGCGGGAGGGACACCTGGACGCGCCGAGACAGGGCGCGCCGGGGCGGACGGGGCTCGGGCCCGAGAGGCGCGCAGAGTCCGGGGCCCTGGGGCAGGGTGTGGGGCCGCGCGGAGTGAGCGGGAAGAGGTCTCGGACAGGGAAGGGTGAAAAGATCGTCTGCGAAGGGGAGCGGGGAGCCGGACGGTGGAGGGTGCGATGGGGACCTGAGCCCGGGAAGCCAGAGACGGAGCTCGCGGTGCGAACTCCGACCGCGAGGTGCGGCTGGAGCTAAGGTCTGAGTTCGAGACCCGGACGGGGCCGGAGGGACTGAAAAGTCGGCCCTGCGGCAGCCGGGGGAGGGGGAGGCAGGTGGGCCGGGGGCGTGGGCCGGGGCGCGGCGGGCACTGACCCGAAGTAGGCGGCGGCGGCGGCGGCGGGCAGCGCCAGCAGGCAGAGCGCGGCCAGGGCCGGCGCGGACGGGGGGCGCATGGTGCCGGCGGCGCAGCGCCCGGTCGCTTCTACTTGCGCCTCTCGGCGCTCGCTGCGCTGCCACGGGCCGCCCGCGGGGCTTTAAACCCGGGAGGGGCGGAACGGGGGGCGGGGAGAGGGAGAGGCGCGGGCGGCCCCCCCCACCCGGCGGCGAGCCCCCCGCCCCATTGGCCCCGCCGGACTGGCCCCGCCCCGTCGCGGGTGGGGTCGCCGCCTCGGCCCCGCCCCCGCCCCGCCCCCACCGCCCCTTCCAGCCGCCCCAGGTGAGCGCTCACCTGACGCCTAGTCCGCCTCGGGACGCCGGGCGCTACGTGAAGCGCCCCCGGGCCTAGGGATGGAGGACTGGGTGGGGGTCAGGGAGTTCGTGCTTCTCTCTTCGGGGCAGGGTGGGGGGCGCGCGGGACTCTCTCCCCCGAGGTACGGGGGTGCGGGCTTAGAGGGAGGCGCCTGGAGTCCGCAGCGGAGCGGGGTCGGGCCCCTTCCTGCGCCCGGCTGTCTGCCCAGCTCCAGGACTCTGAGGGCCAGGGCCGGTCCTGACCCCGAACTGCTTGCTCTCCGGGATCCGGAGCCCCACATGTAATCACTGGAAGGACACTGGCTCGGCAAAGGGCGCCCTGGCGGGTCTCTTGGAGCGGAACAGGGGCAGGGGAACTGTCATTCAGGGAGACTGCCGGTCAAGGACGAGGCGCGCAGCGTGGGCCTCAGTGGGCGTTTGACAAAGTGCTGCTGATGTTCCAGAAACGAAAAGCTGATTTTCTAGACAGTGGGGCAGGCAGAGACCGGGAGGGACCTGCTTTCCAAAGTGTGTAGGTGCCAAACAGGATGGGCACCTCCAGGGTTGGGCCACAGAGCTTGGTCTTGCTTATTCTTTTTTGAAGTTTAACCCCAATTCCTGCACTGAAGGTGCAGTGACCAAGGCAGCAGGTGGCAAGGGTCTAGGAGGGAGACAACAAATGACCTGAGCAGACTTTGAAATGTTTCTGAGACTCTCGAACACTGGGTCAAATGGAGCAAAACAAAATACAGCTTGCACCGAATGTCAAGATGTGTATGTGAAGTTTCCAAAAAGTCAGCCATGCGTGTAGAACATCAGGTGACAGCAACCTCGGTTTCGCGGTGGACGTGGGCGTGATTGCAGGTGGGGAGAAGGGGGCAAGATGGCAGCTGTGACGTTAGCTAAGCGTGAGGCAGTGATAGCAGGGGAAGCCCCCCCGACCCCCGATAGAGAGGCTCTCTGAGCTCAGTTTCCCTGTCGAATGAGCGGAATGATTGATGAGATAATGAGTGTCAGCCGGATCAAATCTCATGGTTCTGTTTACTGAGGCACCAGCACAGTGTGAGGGGCAGAGACCTGGAGTCAGACTGTGTAAATACGAACACCAGGTATGAAATGAGGATAATGACAAATATTTCACAGGATTTTTGTGCAGATAAGAACGATGCCAAATGCCTGACGGGTGCTACCTTTCAGTAGCAGGTGGTTATAACGCAGCAGTACCAGTGATGGCAGGGGTGGGGGGGTGTCTTATTTGTATCATTTGCTGATTTCTGTGCTGGACATATCTCAAGCTACCAATGTGGTACCATCCCTGATCTGTGGAGTTAGGAAGAGATTAGCAGAGTTGGCTCTACAAGCCAGCCCGAGTCAGCTCCAGCTCACCACTGGAAAGACCTTGAACCAGGCTCAAGGAGGCCAAGGAGGGGAATGTGAGTCAGAGAGGAGGCCCCGGCCACGCCCAGTGGGCACTGAGTTCGGGCAGGTAAGGGGGGAGCAAGTCCAGCTTGGCCTGCCCCCGCTGCACACCCTGTCCTTGCGCCCATGAGCACATGCCACGCACACAAGCATGCCCAAGCATGCACGTGTCTGGATAATGTGGGGGATGAGGGGGAGCACATTCTCTCAAAGTGACACATTTTCAACACTTCAGAAAAGTTACGTGTTGACATCTGACAGTTAAGGCTGTGATGCAAAGAATTTGGAGGAAGCACCAATGAGTGAAGAGAGACATCAGTGGTTGGCCAGTGAGATACGTGCTTAGAAGATATCCAGATGGATGTTCAGCCCCCACCAGCCAATGGCATGACCCCACCCTTGGGCTCCTTCCTCCTGATGCTGGAATGGTGCTGCTCTCTGCCTGCTGGAGAGACCCCCCCAGCTTGCCCATGGAGAAGTCAGAGTTCTGCTTCTGCCTTCTTGGTCAACGGGGCCTCGTGGAACTGCCCAGGTGGCAGCTTCTGTTGCTGCCGTGCACCAAGCGTGGTGTGTGTGTGTGCAGCTCCCAGCACGCAGGCTCACTGAAGCCTCCTGCCCCCCGTGAGGTTAGGCCAATTGTTATTCCTATTGTACAGATGAGGAAACGGAGGCTCTGAGAGCTTAAGTAGCTGATGCAAGTAGCAGGAGGTGAGCCCAGCTCCAGTGGGACTGTCACACTGGCTGTGGCTCACGATTGGCTGTGGCTGGCTGGGAGCCACCCAGGCACAGCTCGACTCACAGAGGCCTTCGCATAATTCATCCTTACAGGGCATCATGGACCCCGTAAGTGCTGACCCTCAAGGGTCTCTAGTCTGCAGGGGGAGATGGTGGTGAAAACAGATCATCTCCACAATTGTGGTATTGTGGGACCCCTGAGGAAGGGCCTCGGAGGTGGCCCTCAGGACTCTTGTCTTGGGCCATAAATGGTTTGTGACTCTCACCTTCCGCTCTACCCTTTGAGCTTCTCAAGGGAGGGCCTGGATTTTATTTCTCTTATCTCCAGAGCCTGGCTGAGGGCCTAGTGCATAGTAGGTGCTCAGGAAATATGTGTTGTTGCCAGGTTATAACCTTGGCCTGTGACCTATTTATGGGGCTTCAGGGATAGAAAGAATTGCACTGACACAAGGCATGTCTGCAGAACCACCCCTCCCAGGCTCAGACCTGTGCTGCATCACACACACACACACACACACACACACACACGTCGACACTCTACAACACAAGCCCAGGCGTTCAGTGGCACATGGGCTCCCCCGCCCCTCCCCCACGGATGCCTAAATTCCTAGGCAGACCCACAGCTGCTCCTGGACCCGCACGTCCACACAGGCATGCGGAGAAGCATTCTTAGACATCCACATGCAGCTACCTGTCTCCTTTACCCAGCCCAAGGCAGCCACTCTCAGGGAGAGTGCCCTCCCCTCCCCCTGTGTACACACGCATACACGCACACACGCACACACGCACACCTAGGAAGTTGCAGACATGTGGCTGAAAGGCGAGCAATGGCTGCATCGAGTCTAGCTCCCAAGTGCCTCCAGACCTCGCCCTCCTCCCCGCCATTCTGCCCCCCAAGCCCAGCCACCCTGCCTGAAACAAACCCTCAAGAGCCATCCATTTATCCAGTCCCCCGAGACTCCAAACCCAAGCGATGCCCAGGCCCGTGCTTGGCAGAGCCCAGCAACCACACAATCCCCACAGCTCGCCACCAGGCCCCGAGCAGCGGAAATGAGGAATTCCGGGCTGGCTATCTCCTTCCAGTCACCTCAGGCTGCACTGAAAATGGACTCGGCCCAACAGGAAGTGGTGCCGGACCAGCGCTCGGCCAGGCCTGAGCGAGGCACAGCTGCTTAGGAGAGCTGGTCTGGGGGAAGACCCACAGGACTTCCCACCGGATAGGTGTGCTCACCTGTCCTTTGGCCAGTCCTTCCCGCCACCCCCCCCCCATCCCATCCCCTCTGCTGTGACCTCATCATGACTAGTTCTGTCTGACCACTTCCAGCTGCCCCACCCCCGCACGTGTAAGCTGGGCTTGACTCTCTGACTCTCGCTTGCATTTTCTGGCCCCGGGCCCTGTGAGGTAGCATGGTGGGCATCTCTGTCCCCAGTGAACAGATAGGACATTAGAGTCCAGAAAGGTAACTTCCTTGATGTCATGGAACTCACTGGCACCTGGAGACTGGGGACTTGATGTCCCCAGGATGTCAGGTTAAAACAGGACTGAAGCTAAGCAGGGAAAGTGGACCACGGAATCCCACATGTAGGAGGTTCATGGCTAGGCCTGAAGACAACAATGAAAAAGATAGCAGAGAAAGACACTGACATGTTAAAAAAAATGAGTGGGTGCTGTGGGGGTTTAGGGTGTGGGTAAAAATTTTTTTATCCTCTTTGCATTTTCCAAAGTTCCTATTAGAAGCATACTCAACATTTATAGTGGAAAATAATTCCTTAAAAGGAGGGAAGGACACGTGCTCAAGAATAAATCTTCAATGACAGAAATGTAAGCGTTGGCAGAAAAGCTGTTTGGAAGCTGGGTGGGAGAAGTGCTCCTAGACGTCCCCCCACAGCATCCGTCCGTCCGTGTTCTGTGGGAAGGGCCCCTGTCCTCCCCGTGGAGCTTGCTCCTGAGTTGGCCAAGCTCACACCACCTATGGCAATTCTAATTTGAGGACTTCTCGCCTTTGTTCCTCATCTTCCTCACTCCAGAACTATACTCTGAGTGAGCTTGTGTTGTGTGGAGGGTGGTATGACCCTTCCTTGCCCCTTGCCTACCTGAGGTTCTTCTCCAGCCCTTGATACAGCAGCATCTTTGAGCTTAGCCAAGGAAGGCTAAAAGCAGAGGGGTGCCCTTCAGCACCCCCTCCCACCCAGCCATGCTTCCATTGCCAAGGCCAGCAGGTTGCCTGCTGTGGTGCACCACCTCCTCCTGGAAGCCTGCCTTGACTGATTACGACTGGTTCTGCTCGCTCATCACCTCGGCCCTAGAGACTTTATCAGCACAGCTTAATTTTGAGCTAGTGATACAGTAATGCACACTGTCCTTGAGTTTGGGGGTGTTAGGCACCCTGCTATGTGTAGATTTGCAGATTTCTCAAGGACCAAAGCCTGTTCTCTGTTTCTTTTATACCCACACCGTTCCCCCTAGTGGTAATGAGCTTTAGCCCAGAGTAATCATTAAAGATTGGAATGAATGAATGAGTGAGTGAATGAACACTGACTTGTGGATAGGTGAGACCTGACTACAAACCCTGCCCTCGGTTTTATAATCTTCATGAGAGACAAG